AATACATAGTGGAGAATTGTTGAGAAGTTATAAGGATAGTTATCTTTGTTCGGTTGGATAACCAATTCGCTGAAATATATGCTTTGAAGCTTGCATGAAACTTCTGACCACCCGATATTCAAGCAGAGATTCCAATGCAAACCTGACGGGGTATGTGTTCCCAAAGCACGACTAGCTTATGCCACATTAGGCTTCCGTTCCATACCCATCGATAGAACCGAAAGGAAATATATGTACTCATGTACAAACTGTACAAACCCGTGTCTGCTATTGTCCTTCTATCTGATGAAGGATCTGCGATGGACTTCGAAAAGTCATGCAAATGAAAGTTTTGTCTCAGCGATCACATCTTTTTTCAGGTAGTTATGTATTATAATAGGAATATTAACAATAGTAGAAGTGTTTTCGCTTACCTGGCGGGAGGAGCTTCGCCATCAATGTCAGGAGCAACGGCAGTTAAAGAAGGTCCGCAACGAAAACTCCTGTCGTGCAGGACTAGCGCCAGTGGTTGTTTGAATATGAGAAACAACAAAGATTGGCAGATTTCCTCGAAAAGTGTCTATAAAACAAGATAATATGTAAGGCATAAAACGCTACAAATGACAGAGAAAATTAGATCTTTTGCAAACACACTGAAAATATGAAGCGGTGTGAAGTGAATTCTCATTTGGAGGAATAGCCCACACTGACTTTCCGCAAGAAAAGGCTATTTACCTACGCCAAAAGTCGTTCACATACAGCGGCTAAATGAGGTAAATTAATCGTGCACGGAAAAGGGCGGTGACTTATAAAAAATTCATGATTCGATCACATGGGACGCAAAGGAATTAAGTCAAAAGACATTTTTGTGTGAGTAAACGCAAAAGACTGACCCTCATTAAAAATATCTAGCCGCGCATTAAGCTGAAAAACAGGGCTCCATTAAAAAGCATAAATTAGTTCGAAGCAGTGGCTGTACTACATGTTGAAATATTACTCCGAGACATCGTAGACTCAGGCGATACAACATTATAATATATCAAGCTTATGTTTTGAGTAATTATTCGGGTCTTTGGTTCACGCTGGTTCAGCATGTAACAGGTTAGGTAGTATGATAGTATCTGCGACAGAAATGACAGATAACAGTAAAACTGTTGGTGTTTAAATTCACTGTTAGTACTCCAATAAATTACCTTTTTCTTAATCGAGAGTTCGGCCATAGTCACATCCAATGCTGGAACATTTCGCACTTCCGTCTCCGCGAGCTCGTGGATGCTCAAAAGGAAATCGGTAGCCTCCGGCCAGGCTCGTGCAGATATTAAGTTATTAATTATATCTGGAGCGAGTCGAACTCGATCAAGAACCTCGATAAGTTCTAAACTGCGGCGTTGCTCAATCAGGTCTAGCCAGAGCCTGCGCAATTCCTCGCGATTACAAGCGAGGAAGTTCTTGCATTCGCCTATGTCCTTTTTCACTTTCCGAACAGCATTTCTGATGTCTAAATTGGGACATTGTTAGAAATACGAAAAACCCACTTTCTAGGTTTTGGGAAACCTCGCGATAAACGTTCAGGATTTTGGTGACCTCGTCATATTTTTCTAAAAGTGAGGAAGACGGAAGAACGCGGAAATGGCTAAATAAAACGTAGATTTCTTAAAGGAATCATTAATGACCTATAGTAAACCGGTACAAATTATACAATTGTAAGTTGTAATTGTAAATTGAGAATTAGGTGTATTTTATCAGCAGTAGATACCGATCAATTTAAAACACCTAAAGTTATGTTTTCAACGTTTTTTGAGCTGATTCCAGTCGATAGTTTTCAGATTATCGTTGTAAAAAACTTTTTTTAAATCGTTCCAAAAAAGGAGCATTGTCTGCATTACAATTTATTAAAAACGGCCTAAAGCCTTGGAATGACTTCAAATAGAAATAACGACTCAAGTTAGGTTCTAAAATGGCAGCACGCGAGATTTTTTGAACAGTAGTCCACGATAGCAATCCATTTTTCTGGGGCTATGCATCAGGCTAACAGAGAGCATTTTCAGGCTATGTTGCGTTTCGTTATCTGATTGGCCAACGTTGTTCGGGCCGCCCGACCCAATGACTCTTACCGAACCACCTTTGAGGTTGGAATAAATACGATATACGTAAGATACGGTTTTCTATTGATTTTTGAAAATTATCTAAATGCAATGACATTTACACAAGTAATACATAACAACTTCTGTAGGGAATTTGTAAGCCAATGAGTTTTCTTTGAGTTTATATAAAGTCAGAGAATATATCGATTTTGAGGAAGTTCGTAATTAAACTTAAACTTAAATTGCTGCCGAAATTATTCGATAAATACTTGCAATTTTGTTCAAATAGCCTACAAAGCAGGTAAAGTGTTTTGTTTCTACTAAGATATTTTAGGGTTTCCCCGTGCAGGCAGGCAGTGTTTGGTGCAAGCGTGACTCATATTTTGGCCCTGAAGTGTCTTCGGCAGCAAAAGAAATCGAATACAAAAAATCGGTGCCAATGAATTCTTCTGCGCGGCCGAACATGGTCAACCTCTAATGCCGAGCGAGGAGGCACCGACAAGCAGTGCGACAAGTGTTACAGGCGTGACATGAAGGGGGTAAGGGGCCGGGGGAGTAAAGTCTTTACGCTGCCGGTGCAAGCAGCGCGAAAGCACCTTACAAATATACAGAAATCTAGACGAATCTAGATTTTTGCTTTCAGAGAACTACGAAGTTGACGAAACCGTAAGAAATTCATAAGATTAGAGCAGTAAACTGACCGTTAAGACAAACATTAACAACTTCCTCAGTTTCTTTATACTCCCGGGCGAGCTGTTCCCGTTTTCGTTCTCGGACCTCCTTGGTACTACTAGAAAAATAAAGCCGAAATTAAAAATAAGAGGCAAGATACTGTTCAAGGAGTCCATGGATGAAGGACATCAAATAAGATGATTGTGTCTAAAAGGCATGAATTATCAGTAAAAAATAAAAACCATTGTGTATAATTATCCGGCCAAGGGCAGCAGTGCAAGAAATAAAACGTCCGGTAACACCTATCGGGCGCCTCTTCGACTTTCCGCCCGAATTTTAACCTAGTAAAATAAACATCATGATGACCGTCATACTTGCTGCCAATTTTCGATCCTACTATTTCTGTATGCGTCTGGTGGACTAAATTGTGTGTTTTCTGGGAATCAGTTAATAAACTTTTGGCACAAAACATTTGCTGTCTTCTTCTCAGTTTCATTGAGACGTCGGTTGTCGCAAAAGCCTAGAAGCCTGCCGTGAGATATATATATCGAAATTGAAATCTACTTTTAAGATTTTTTTTCCTTTTCCAATTATGCAGTAAATGATCATTAAGCCAAAGATAAGTCATTGATAATGCAGGTGGAAGCTAAATATTATCGCATTATAATAACTGTAGGCCTCTGTTTCGTTCTGCAGCCTTTTGTAAGTAAATTTTGGATCCAAGCCCGCTTCGTCCTTATAAATGTATATTGAAAGAGCAACTAAAATAGTCGATGTCCTCCAGAGATCTTCTTGCTAACAGGTCTTTTAGATATTACAATTTGCGAATTCTTTGGAAAGTTACCATGGAAGGCGTCGATAAAACTTTAGGCCTTGTGCGAAGTCTGTGCTACCAACGGGATTTGAACCTTCGCATCTTTAAATGCTAGCAGCGACGGCACAACAAGAATACCGCCGGATTTGCTGAATTAAATGCTAGAATAAGCTTTTTTCGCAAAAATTATATTCGTTTTTTCATCTTCATGCATGGAGAATAAAACGGCCAGTTATGTGTAGTGTTTATGTGGTCCCCGTGGGAGGGGAGTGGGTGTAATGAGGACGCTCGATGCGGCGCGCAGCGAAGAGGGAGGTAGATGTTCTCACAATCGTGAGTTTGGGCTCTATACGTCAGGCGCGCGGCGTGCGTCTGAATACTCTCCATGTCTTCAGGTGGAGTGGTTTCCGATGGTGTGGTTTAGGGCGGTGTGGTTGCGTGTGGTTGGCCAAGGGAAGCAAACTGCTCACACCAACGCCTTTGGACAGCAAGACGTGGGTTTTC